AGAGAGAGAGAGAGATTTGTATGGTAGTTTGAATTTTACAAGATTTTACATTTTACAGAGGTAGAGGATGGGTAAACAAGAGTTGGGAGGTTAGTATTTCAGATGCCAGAGAGGATGGGACATTTCAAATGCATGATGAAGATGGCAACCATTATTTATTTAAAAAAAAAATTAGATAAGTTGTAGACTTTGTACCACAGCAACATTTAGTGGAACAATACATGTTGTTGTTCCTCTTATTTCTGTGGCTATGGCTTACATGCGACATGGCTCTCAAAAGTATATTACATTCTTTTATGAACTTATGATTAACATTGGAGCGGCTGATTGATTAAAGAATCCATATGATGTCTCCCAAAAATATCTTGTGTATAATTCGCTTATGAATAACATGCGGTTTGCATAAAGTTAGTGAATAAATATGTTATCTGGTGGTACGGAGGAATAAATACCATAGAAGTGTCTCAAGAAATCACTTTCTTCAAGGCAAAACGATAATCAATCTCTACTTATTTTGTGGGGCAGAGAGATTGTGTTTTCCTGCTAGCTCCATATCTCTTGATTGTCATTAGCGAGTTAGCAGATTTTCTCATGTGCATTTAAATTGAATGAGGCGTTTGAAACCAAGCAACCTCTGCAACCACAAACTCATCAACTTATACTGCGACCCTGTTCTAGACTTTCGTACTGACTTTCGCCTCACACCACACCGAGAAATAAGCATGTCACCCAGAGAGAGAAATGGGTGATTGAATGCCAATTGCTTCTTCCTTTCGACAGCCAGTTTCGCCATGGGAATCCAATCGACTAATTGATCCACTCAAATATTGAGATAGACATCCTGGTCCAACATATATCACCTTTAGCCCACATGCCTGGGCTCTGATGATTGAGTTGCCATTCCCATATATCGAATATTGCATTTCATAAATCTCCACCCACAGGTGTCAACTTTTTTCAAAGAGGAACAACTGTAATTTGACTAGTTCATCTACAAATCGTAGGATTCTTGACCAAGCTTACATATAGAGTCCTTAAATACCCATAACATAACGTCATATATTAAACTTGATCAGGAGATTTGCTTGCGTAAGAAGAGTTATCCATGCAGGGGCTATCTTGAACTCGCACCTTCTAATAAGTCTCTTCTCTTGCGCCTCCCCTATTGGTATCGCGGATTCCACCTTGGCGAAAGCCCATTCCCTCTTGGAAGGCCTCAAACATTTCAGCCCTTCTTGGAACTTAGTTTTAGTTGTCGAGGGTGACTCACTGAATGCCATTGGAACTTAGTTCTATTTGTCGAGGGTGACTCAATCGATGTCATTTCCTGAGCCTCACATGAGACTACATCACCTTGGAGGCTCATGACTATCTTTGACGAGATTTCGAAATTTCCAGGCATATATAGGTCTTCTGGATTCATACTTAGAGGGGGACGCCAATCAAACTGGCTGACGCACTGGCTAAGCAAGGAGCTTTTGTGAGTTTGCCCTAACCTTTTTTGGATTGTATACAGACCAAAACTTTGTGATTAGCGACCGTTCCCATGTAATTTTGCTTTTATAGTTCTGATTTTACCACTTCTCTGTGGTTTTTTGCGTCCCTGGGTTGGGCAATTTTTGTATATTGTAAACTACTTAATACAAGGTTAACAATTTCGAGAAAAAAAAAACATTATCCTAAGTTGTTTCTCTCGGTACGTCTACTTCGTATTGGCATAAAGGGCTGCCCTTAACTATGGCAAAGATACCGTTTATGTTTTGTACAAGATGATCGTAACTATACCCACTCATTAGATGTCAAAATGGATGGCTTGGGGTGAGTTACGAAGTTTGAGCTTTTTTAAAAAAAAATTTGTGTCTAATCAATGACATTCTTCTAACTACCCATTTTGAAATCTAATGGACAAGAATGTTTTGCGACATCTTTGTACAAAAGGTAAATGGTGTCTTTGTAGACAATCCCTTAATAAGAAAGTATGTTTCTGATAACACGGATTGTATACAATGATACAAGGATGTCACAATTACTTACAACCATCCGATGTGAAATCCGATGCTTGGGTGTATCACAAAGTTAAAAAAAATTCTTATGAATTTGAGCTTGGTCAATGAAATAAATGTACCCATCTAATTTCACATCCAATGGTCAAGATTAATTGTGACCACGTTGTATCAAAGATAAATGGTCTCATTGTATATTTTTATTATATTTAAACGTATTAAATTTCATTAAAATATGTAATGGTTAAAAAAGACCCTGAGTTTTGTATAGAAACAGTAGAAACCAACATCACCAATAAAATAAGAGATTAGAAAGATCACTATTAACAATGTCAAGAAACTCTACTTTCATTTTAAAATTCTTTCAAATTCGAATTCTAATTACAAAAGAAATAAAAATTAAATAAATTTAGAGCCCCAAATCAAGCGCATATACCCCTAGATTTAAACTCCCAAGGAAAAAGCTCCAGAATAAATCTACATCACCTGAAAAAGACTCCGTAAAAGAAACTCCAAAAATTCATATTAAATCATTTTTGAAAAACCTATAACTGATATCATACTAAACATGAACGATAAAAAAAGGCATTGTTTTCCCATGGGTTCATCATCATCGTCAGACTTTTTTCCAATTATTTGAGACAGTCATTCTACTCTATCAAGGGCTGTACCTTTAATAGCGTCATAAGTTCTCATATCTTTGCTCACTATTTATCTTTGCTCACTATTTGCAACTGTCTTTTTTGACCTATACTTTACCATTGTTTAGTCTTCCACATAAACTGAGAGTCGCACCTTTTAACAAATGTTGTACTAGGTCTGCACTGCATATAGTCAGCTTACCTAAGTTTATTTTCTCTCATCTTATCACGTATTGGAGCCATACCTAAGTTCTTACAAATGTATTTATGTAATTTCTATCCCTTATTGTCTTGCTACACGTCCATCTCAACATCCTTATCTCAACTAAACTCATCCTATGTGTATGTTGTTTCTAGACTGCCCAACATTCCGCCCCCATAAAGCAAAGCTGGTCTCATAGCTATCCTATGCAACTTCCACTTTAGTTTCATTAGTATGAAACGATCACATAAAACTCCAGTGGCATATCTCCACTTCACCCACCCAACTTTAATTCTATGTACAATATCTTCTACAATTTTTCCATTTTACTGGATTATCGACTTAAGATATCAAAAGTGCACCCTTTCTTGTATTTCTTGGCCATCAATATTTACTATTTTCTCATTTGTACTCCTATTGTTACTAAACTTACATGCTATATGATTGAGGATCAAGAACTCTATGGACCTTAATGATTATGGATATTAGAAAAAATGCATATATATTTGGATCCCTATAACCTGTCTAGTGGTATGAAAAAAAAAAAATTTGTCAAAAAAAAAGAAAAAGTTTATATACGGTTGACACCTTAATATGTAGAATCAAGGTGCACATCAAAAATCCTTCGAAAAATGTTGTTTTAATGTTGGAAACATCAAATGTATAGGTATGGGTAAAAAAAAAAAAGGATAAAAAAAAGAAAATTAAATACTAAACATATCACATCTTGCAATATATTATTTGGACCGTTCATTTTCAATACTTTTATGCGTTTATAGAACGGCTTGATTTGAACTATTTTTTTAGAGTTTAAAATCTTATAATTAGAGATAAAAGTGGATTTTCACACCACTTTAAGAATTTCGGACACCAAAATTGTATCTCGTGACAAGTTTGTGGGTCCACCTTAATTCGATTGTTTAAGGTTGCAACCTTATGCAAATGACACCGTGTAGAATTTTTCATTTCAACTCTTGATAATCATCAGGTATCGACCATATTCTTTGCTCGAAATCTATTATTTAGTAGTGGAAATGGATTTGCAAGGTTTCGAAATGGTTCCTCAAGAGAAATTAGGAAGGCCCGAGGCCACACCTTAACTTCACCCATTACAAAATTGGATCATTAGTCACTCTCAACCGTCCCCAAATTTGAAGAAACATGGTTTATTTAATCATATGTGAAACTCTTAACATCCAATGGTCCTAGCCTTCTGGTTGCTCGGCTCTTCCATTCATACTGGAATGTTCACATAAGCGCAAAGGAGAGATGATAAAGAGTAGTTGTAAGAAAGAGGGGGCAAATGGAATAAGAAGGAATATGAAAAAGTTGTGTTTCCTATTTTTATTTTGAAGGGTAAAAGTCTAAATGATGCTTCAGACAAGTGTTTGTATCATGTGGCTGATATGAGTTAACAGGAGAAAGCATGCCACGTCTCCGTGGACAATGGAAAACCATAGTATAGGGGTCATCAAATTTTCTCTCGCTCCATGTCGGATGAAAATGATTGACAGCGATGAAGAGTTGAATAAATGGACACTGATGAATTGTTGAACCTTCATCTGGGTCATGTAATGATTTCGAGGAGCTATACTCTCTCCAATCATCCATTTCATTGCACTTGTGATCCCAATGGATTATAGTGTGCTTTCATGATAGAAAAAATGATAAAAGAACCATTAAATAACATTAGCAGACATTCAGTATCTAAAATGAGAAAAGTACCACTAATCATGAAGAGGCGATGAAATGAGAAACACCAAATTTTTTACATTTATTACCCATTTAGGTCTTGAAAGGAAAGATACAAGGAATAAGTGAATGGAATCAATCTGACCCAAGACTTCACCTATGTTTTCTATGGTTCCACCATTTTCACACTGCAAAGATCTGAGTTCAGGACTGAACAGAGATTCCATAGCGAAGAATGAGATGTCTATCATTTGAAGAAAGAGACCCCTACAATCAAAGGCAGAGTCATGGCTTCATCAGCAGCTCTTTAACAAATTGAGTTACTTTGGGCACATCTACTGTCCACGCAACTGAGACCGGTGCATGGTCTGTCCAAGGATTACTCGAATTCCATCTACACCATCTCCCAAAAGAAATACCATACTTAATAAAGATTAAAAGAAATTGGACAATACATTATAATCCATTGGACCATGGAAAGTCGAAATCCATTGGGACATCACCATCGAAGAACAGAGAGTGAGAAAGAACCAACACTGTAGTCATGCCATTGTGTGGAGGGTCACTTCATTGGATGGTGATGACCCCAACGATCTATGAGCACACGTACGAAACTCCATAGCCTCACAGGATTTTCCCAGATAAAAAAGAAAAAAGACCAAATATAACTAGGAAGAGAACAACGAATAAATAAATAAATAAATAAAAATAAAAATAAAACCACATGGCATATTAGTCATACTTCTTCAATCCTTGGTCCATCAAGGTATGGCCTACACAGATTCCTTGGGTCTCAACCCTCACAACTCCTTTCCTGAATGTGAAGAGTTCAGGTTGGACTAGAGCGGCAAAGCAAACTGGGTCATGTAGGAATATCCCTGCACAAATGGAAATAATATTAGTTCTTTTATTTTCCTTGATCAGATGAGAGAATGTCACTTATATAATCCCTCTCTCTCTCTCTCTCTCTCTCCTCTTCTCTCTCTCTTC